TTTTTTTTTTTTGAAATGTATAATATTAAGAAAAAAATTATGACACTTAGTGATATACTTCTTTTTTAAACTTCAAGAACTGCAGTAACACCAATATTGGCAATTGTCATCAAAACAGCAATATGCCAACCTAACGAAGATGGAAAGTCACACAAAAATCACCTATATCTGATCTGCACATACAAAAAAAATTCTGCATGTATCAACAGATAATTCTACAGAACCAATGAACTGAAAATATGCTCAACAAAATTTTACACTAAATTTTCAGTCCATCTTTTCAAAGCTCATCAAAGTTAGAAGGGAATTTTTAAAACTTTATAAGGTTAATTATGTCAGCGTTTGAAAATTGCAATCTTTTAGGCCATCCAATGTACATTCCGGTGAATACAACTGTGCACATCTTTGTAAATACAGCTCATTTTGATTTTTAAAAAAAAATGATATTTTAAACAAACTTATACTGTATAAACAAATGATAAAAAAGAAAAAAATGCAGCTCTAAAGTATCTTTTCCAATTTTATACGACCAAATTTTTATTTGGAAACTTTATAAGTTTATTTTTTTTTCCACTTCCTTCCCAGTCAACATCAAAGTACCAGCGACAACCACTGATGTAAATTCAAATCATAAAATCATATTTAATCTAATACAGAACTAAAAAAGTAAAAAAAAAATTCTTTTCTAGCACTTTTACACATACCTATCAAAACGAATATTTATCGCTGCAGATAAAAATGAATTTCCCTTTTTTTTTTTTTTACTTCTGATGACAAAGCCAAATTTATACAGTGAGGATGAGAACTTTATTATGACTGTTAAACTTCATATGTACAAAAAAACTGGAAAAAATTGCGAAATGTTCAATATGAATTGTAATTTTGACTGAAATTGATATTAAAAATATATTCTAACGACATTTTGTGTAGAACCAAAATATTAGAATGACAGTAAAAAATCATAAATTCTCATTAATTATAAATGAAGACAAGAAAAAAAAAAAACAGTTCAATGTATTTGTAAAAAAATGTTTGAAAAAACACATTCATTCTAGAAAGTTGTTAACTGTTAGCAAAATATATTTGTCTAATGAAGCATCTCTTTAAAAATGAAAGTAAAAAGTTCCAATCAACTGAAAACACTTCTTGACGACCAGTTACTTTTATAAATGAAAAATTAATCATGAAACTTTTTTTTTTGCTCAAACAAGCAAAATATTTCACCAAGACACTAAATAACCGTTCCAAGCAAATAAATCAGTAAACTCGGATAATACCAAAATTTGTTCGACTACGTGCATACACTTAGTTTTCTGATTAACACAGACAGTCTGAGCTACAAAAAAAAGCTGACGGCTACGTTCATATTGAGCCAACAAATGATCCAAATTTTTAACTATCAAACCTATTCATATAAACGAATACTGCATTTTGAACAAACAGCCAGTAAACAGTTGGCCTGTTCAAATTTAGACAAATTTTTTATTCAAAATTTGCAAAAACGACAGCAGTAATAATCAGAGTTTAAAGCCGATACAAAACAGGCAAACTACTACCAAACTTTGACATCAAAGCAAGACCGAGCTAACCAACTTTAAAAACCCCAAAATACACTTGCACGTAACAAAATACTGCTTGAAATTCCATTTGCGCAATAAGCGCCAAATGAAAACGACAAACTACAGTTTATTTGGACCAGAAGATATGCTAAATGTTTATTATACAAAACAACACTTAGAGTTACAGATGCATCAAACTGAAATCTGTATGTTAAGGAATACCCAAATTACAATAGAACGTAGACCGAAGAAGAAACCGACAAAAATTTAACAGTAGCCTGGAACTTCAGTGTTTGTCACATATATCAACAGTAGCAACGAATTTTAAATTGTAGCAAGCTTCCGTCCTTTTGAGATTGGTTAGCAACAATAAAAGCAACAAAGATAATAGATTTGAATTAAAACTTTATCCATGTAAAAAAATAAAAAAAAAAAAAAAGAAATCCAGTGATGATCCAATCAGCGTCACTAATGACATACCTAAATTTTGAGTCTAAAATTTTCTGTTATGACAAATACTTGTCTATACAAACACTGAAACTGATAAGAACCAAAAAAGCAGTTTATTGAAGTTACAACGTGGCGCCACCAAGATGAAAATAGCACAGACTTGATACCCGACTATTTATAGCAGAACCATCGTTTTGCAACTCCAAATGTTGTACTCAAAACATGAAGAATGACGGTTTTCTTTTGCCCTGCCAAGATGGAATTTTCCACTGGACTGTTGATTATAAAAATTTTCTATCTACCTAGCACCTCCACTCATCAATCATCTTGTTACTCTGCAATCAGACCACAATTTGTGCACATATAAAACCAACTAAACAGACTACATGATAATTACCATGACGATACTACTACTGAAATACTAACAATGATATCATGTTTACTATCATCAGAAACTATTACCACAAGTCACCCGTACCTTAGCCATCCTTAAACTTCGTCGTCAGCCGCTTCTGCTTCACAAAGTTACCTTCCCTTCAATAACCACCTATTATTTGACTACTCATTAACTATCCAATTAAATCCTGAGCAGATTCCAAGTACTGCCCTTCATCCATCGTTAACAATCAGATGTACTGCCATGTCAATGTTGATCACTTAAAAAATATAGCACGTATTAATGGCCAAAAACTATTATTTATCAATCTTGTTTATATCCAAACGTTTCCAACTGAGGTAAAACTCCAACAGCCTATCACTCTACCAGTAACCAGAATTTCAGAACAAAAAACGTTACAACGACACAACATTGTATAATTAATCATACGCCTTTCCAAAATTTCAATCAACTTCTTAATAAAACACCTAAACATAAACTCTGAACCCTTCAGATAAATCCTGGTAATAACTTAGAGATCGCAAACACTACCAAAATACTCTTTGCGTCCTGAATCAGTCTGCTGCTACATCTCTAAAACAGAGGTTTTACCAACAAACTCTAAAGCATAAGCTGCAACCTCAACGAACATTTCATACCAACAAATAACTTCTTAAGTCCAGTTCTCCAATTTTGAGTCAGATAACAATACTCTTCGCCTACGACACTGTGCTAATTATAAAAACACTCAAACTTCTCTTCCAACTTAACCCATTATTAAAATAAAGACTTCAGGACCAATATCAAGACCTAACCAACAACTCTTTTCAAAAATACAGTACGCATCTTAAAGCCCTCTGAAAAACTATCACTCCTACACCCTAAAAATCAGTCGATCAATTCAAAGCCAAACGGCAACTTTTTCTGACCCATCTTGATAAACGAATAGACAACTACACTGAACACATGACAAGGCCTTCTTCTCCAATAGCTCCTGAATATGAAAGGAAGCAATCACAACTGAAATTTCATTCGAAGCCAACTTTAATTCAAAATCCCCATCCACCTTTGCTATAATCTCTTCTCTACTTTAACACACTTCCACACAAAGCTGAACGAAACGATCTTGAAAAAAAAATAGGTTCATTTACCGGACTCAGTTTCAAGAACTGACTTGTTTCCCGATTTATAGTCATTAACCACCGTCAAACCTCATCCTTCATTAAAATGAGTAAAAATACGAAATTACAAAAAATGATAACCCCACAGTACTTCTAACACATACAGTGAATATATCAACAGATAATGCTTTGAGCAACCAAGTTCCATTACCACCACCAAGTACCAATTAAAGGTGGAGGGAGAATCATGCTGCGGGTCCCAAGAACCCTTAATTTATTTCGTGAAAAGGACAGCAACAAACCCAAGAATAAATAGTAAACTGAGCATCAGGCGGTGACTAATTTGGAAGGAGGCCACAAAGGGATACAATTTGGTACAACTGGAGCGCAGAAATACTGATAGCAATAAATTTTGGCTCCAAAACAAAAATAAAAAAGGGAGTAACGCCAAATGAGAACTATCGAGCTAAACCAACATGAATTTGAAACACATCATTCTCTTCAATTTAATAGCGTGGCAAGCAGGAAGAAATTCCTGATTTAACACTTTAGAAAAAAATAACAGTGAAGTTTCCAACTAGCAACAACCACTTCAAACATATTTTCTCTTTCATCCAGCCAAAAGAAGAAAAAAAACAACCGGAAAAGAACCACATATGTAACTTTTCCTTAATCAAGATAATTTGACATAAAAAAGAATAAAAAACCATAAGGAAAACAACAAAATCATCAAAAAACTTAAACCACAGAATTCACTTCCACAGGCAAACGACAAGTGCCCAAATAAATAATAATAAAACAAAAGAAAAGAAAAGGCACTTGATAACAAACAATAGAAGTTTTGGTTACAACACCTATATCACTTTCTGAAAAAATACAAATTCTTTCTCCGGATACAATTGACACAGCATCAGCTGGTAACAAAATATGATGCAACTTAGAAAAAGAAACTAAAATACAAGGAAAACTTGACAAGGACAAAAAAGCACAAGGTAGGAGTAACAGGAATTATCATAAAACAACAGCAGTTCCCCGCATAGTGAAACAAAAACAACTCAAAGCAACACGAAAAAGAATCAAAGGCCCAAAAAACAGTTAAGATAGAAAAACGAGAAAAAATAAACGTATAAACGGTTAAAGCAGATAACCAAAAACAAAATAAAAATAAACAATATTTCTTCTCCATAAATACTTATGAAAATTTATACCCAGTATTTTAAATATCTACCGCCTCTTAAACCCTCGACTCCCGAGATGCACTGTTGAGCACACAATAAATGCGTAAAAAACGCGAAAGAAGTGGATGAAATAAATTAAAAAACCGAGCCTCAAGCTAAACAAGAGTTCAAAATGTAGAGACGAAGGAGAAGTACCGAACATAAATACAGAAGAAAATAAGGAATTCATATTCTTCCTAACATCCTTTTTTAGATTTCCTTTCCGCAATAAAAAACGTTGCTAACCATAACAGTAGCTTCTAACTGAACACTTAAATACTCACAATTTAACAAACTATGATAAACCCACAAGTTTGCTGGCACACTCAAACAAACAAATAGAAAATTTTCAATTAACACAGTAAACAATAAATTGATTAACAACCGCGTAAAAAAATAAAAATCACTGTTATTTAGTTGTACAAATAAATCTTTCTCAACATAGGATTAAGAACAAATAAACATAGAAATAGTGCTTAACTATTACTGTGCTGGTAACTTCAAAAGAGACTTCCCTTACTCGAATATAGAGAGCTGCGGATCAGGCAGAGGTGGGGCAGGCTTAGGTACACGAGGTCTTCCACGCCCACCACCACCTTGTCGACGACGCACCGGCATCGTAAGCCCAGAGAAGAGAGTTGCATCAATACCCTTAAACATTCCAAATATTAAAAAAAATTAAAAATAAATATGCTAGAAACCTACTTGAGCTTTAAGAGTTTCGCGAACAGTCGCATTAAGACCAGCAAGTTCATCAGCAGTAAGAGCGTCAGACTTCATCAAAATCCCTCCATCGTTCACTTCTGCTACGTGTTTGCGTTCTTCTACGAGAATGTATATTAGAAAAAACTACCAAAAGACAGAAAATATTTATATTTTTTTTTTGAAAGAAAAAATCTAAAATTCAGATAGGTGATGCGCATTTCTTTTTAGGTAAAAATGAAAGTTTCGCAACGTGCATAAAAATCAAAGGCACACCTCCAGAAGGACTTATCTGCCCTAGACCAGAATCTTCTCCAACCGAACTGGTACGAGATGAACGACCAACAGGCATCTTGACCTCATTAGCATGAGCTTCGCTAGCAGCTAATTGGGTTACAACAAGCGGAGCAGCAGATCCAGTAGTTTTAACACCCAATACTTAAAAGGATTTCATTTATCCAAAGAGAAAATACCACTGCATAAGAAAAAAAATAAAAAAACAAACCTTCTCCAAAATTCTTAACCATCTTTATCATTGAGGCGTTATCACAAACGAAACGTGATTTATGCGTGAAATTCGCTTCATCACCACGCTCCAAAGAAAATTGAGCAATTTCACTTCGAAAGCCTTGCTAAATAATAAACAGTTAAAATATCGTGTTTTGACCAAATAATAAAAAAATGAAACACCTTTTCACGATCACTCATTGCTTTAATCCGCTTAGCACGATCAAGCAGTTCATTTGCCTTGACACGACGTTCAGTCAGTATACGAGCTCCATCATCGTGAATGCGATTAACTTCAGCCAATAAATGAACCTCACGATCCTCCAATAGCTGTCGGATTCCCTAAACACCATAAGGATCATTTTCAATTAGAATACTAAAAAACTACGGAAACCAGACGATATTTAACCCCAATTGCATTAACTAACTATCAAAAATTCCACCACAAAGTCTTAATGATTCACCTTAAAAACATTTTTGATGCTCTCCTCAGCAAGAAGAAGCCCTTGCTCAAAAGCGACCTCAACGTCCTTAACTTCGTCCTCAAAGTTCTTTAAACATGAAATTGCTATTGAGCAGGCTGAAACAATTCAAGGTAAGCCAAATATTAAGAACCATTGAAAAAAGGGGTTTTATTACGGCGTTTTTAATGATTAGTGGAAAAAGTGCTAAAAGACAGTCAAATCCAATATACAGAGAGACCTCTAGCCAAATTTCTGGACTGCTTTGCTACACACAAATACCCCAAAAGCGGTATAGGAAAGAACCCAAGAAAACACAACAAAGAAGCCGAAAAAATAGAAGTCACTAAATTACATAATATATAATAGAGAAGCATACTTTCTTCTTCTGAATCAGTTCCTTTGTACATATTAACATTATGAGTCGGCTCAATTACCAAAGCAGCGCCAGATGAAACCTGCTCAATACCAGCTGGTTGGAATGCAAAATCTTTCGCTGTTTTGTACGTCACAGTCGAATCAGTCGGTGTACTTAAATCGTCTGAAACCAGAAAACTTCCAATATTAAATAATTTCTGCCATATTTTCAGCAGTAGAGTGTAGATGTAATGACCAAACCAATCGACAGCTTACTGAAGTTAGACCAGTGATACCGTTAAAACACTAAGCTCAAAAACAACACAGCAATTTAGCAAACCGCACTGTTGGGATACTGAGGACGCACAGTACGATTGGGTTTTGCGGTCTCCTTAGCAGGTGCGACAGGGTGTAGATTAGAAGCTGTTTGCGAATTTAGCGTTGCATCCTAGAAATAAGCAAAAGAATCGCTAAAAAACCAAAAGGCTTGGTAAAACCAATTGCTGTAATAATCGGTAACACACGATTACTTAAATACCTTAAAACCTTGAACTTATACTTTTTTCAAAACCTTCCTTCCTACCTTCTTTTTCTTTCGATTCTTCTTTTTGGCCACTCCAGTACGCTCCCAAGCTCCAAGAGCATTTTGGGCACCATCTAAATAATCACGCTATTTCTTTCACATCATTTTGCTTCTTGAGGTAACGGGACCAAAGGCTTTGAAAGCACCAAAAAGATGGACCCAAAAGAAATTTAAAAATTGGAATTAAAAAAACAATACGCTAATAAACTTATAAAGAAAAACGCCAACCATCACAGAACGCTTGGATGGTTTTATCAATATCGAGCTCATAAATATGAAGAGCCAGGACAATGTCATTTTTACTTGCCGTGTGGACAACCTCCCGAACTTTGGCCACAGCCTCCTCCATTTTCCGCTTTTCTTCCAAGTCACGCTTTGAAGACGCCATAATTTTCGACTAATCCACCGAGCTACAAAAGAAGATGATACATTTCTTTTTAAACTTCTCCAACAAAAAAATGAAACAACGTCAACGAATGAGGGCGATACAGAAAAGTAAAAAAGAGAACAAACGTATAGCAAAATAGGAACAAAAACCTACTGGTTCTCATTTTAACCCCACCCCCTCTCTTCCCCTTCCAACACCTTTACAAATATCTGCTTCTCCATCGATTCCTGGCATAAGTCTAAACAATTTTTTTGTCGCCTACATAAACAGTAACCCATTGGTAAAACGTACACAAATAAATGCAGAAGCACGCAGTAAATTATCTCAAAATGATGACAACAAGGAAACGAGAGTATAATCAAAACGTCATTTTAAGCAAAAAAGAAAAAAAAAAAAACAAATATAATGTATAGATCGAAGCCATAGTTGAAAATACCGTCTCAATAACAGTAAAAAAAAATTTTTTTCCCGTAGCAAAATAGCAAAAATGGCCTGTTTCGCGATAGCGCCAACAAACGACTAAGTAATTACAAAAAAAAAATTATCAAAGAAATAAATGTAAAAAAAGAGCACATACATCTAAAAAACTCTATCCTTTCTTCCTTCGCAAACCCCACCAATGATTATTCCATAGGTCGATGAAAATTTAAAGGCGAAAACAATGATAAAATGTCATCATCAAAGCAATAATGTTACTATATAATTTATATCTTTTATTTATGCATTCAAACAGGTAGCTTATATAATGACGGCAATAATG